TGCCCGGTGGCACTGCCGGGACCCCGCCTGCCCCGGGCAGACACCAAAGCGTTAACCACCCGCTCGGCTCCATTTCCTGTGCCGCTTGCTTCCCCATTTCCTTCCCAAAGTTTGGGCAGAACCCATGGCCGCGGCAGCAGCTCCGCTCCTGTCCCGGCAGCGAAGCCCCGTCCAGCGGCAGCCCTTGGGTGAGTTGGAAGCGGATCCCCTCCGGGGCCTCTCGGAGCTCCCCTGCCCCGTCTGCCACATAAACGCGAGTGGGTGGCAAAGACAAACACCGGGCGGGGCGGAGGATGGTCCTTCCCCAACACCTTTTGGTGCCAAACCTTGCTCGGGGGTGCAGAGCATCCCCAGCCCCGCAGATGGGCAGAGCCGAGTGGAACCCTGCCAAGCCGCTGCAATACGTGTCGGGGACTTTGGGCAAGAGAGGTTTGGGGACTGGAGGGCTTTTGGGCAGCAGGAGGGATTTTGGGACAGGGAGGTGTCGGGGACCTTCGCTGGGCTATAGGGCGGCACATCCTTGCCTAGAACAGTGGCTCCTGGCTGGCTCCTGGCTGTGAACCCCAATTCCTCGCAGATCCCCAGTGTTCCTGGCTGGTATGGAACAAAGCCAGGGTGTTAATGTTTAACAGCACTCGGGAGTTTTTCCTGCCAGGAGTTCCCCTTGGCTCCCTCTGCACCTCTCTGGTCTCCAGGCAGCTGCAACTCCTCCTGCAAATGACAGAACAGGATGCAGATTTATCAAATCATAAAATCACAAAACTGTTTGGGTTGCAAAATCCCTCTGAGATTCTCGTCTCCAGCCGTTAACCCAGCATTGCCAAGGCCACCACTAAATCATGTCCCCAAGTGCCACATCTACATGTCATTTAATTCCCTCCACCGGTGGTGACTCCACCACTGGGCAGATTTTCCCCTTGTTCATTTTGAACCGGTTTTTGAAGGGTTTCCTCCCTCCCAGTGCCTGCACGTGGTCTCTGCCACATCCCAGGATATGCCTCAGCTACAAACTGGGGTATACTGGGGCTTCTCTGCCTGTGAGGCAGCCCTTGCCTCATCCCTGAACCCTCCTGTTTCTGTGCTCAGGTGTGGGTGCCCAGCTGGGTCAGGGCTTCAGTCTGCAGCAGCCCCAGGACAAGGTGATGGTGACAGCGGGGGAGACACTCACCCTGAACTGCACCACGTCTGGAATCGCTGGACCGGGTCCTGTGAAGTGGCTGAAGGGCTGGGGCAGTGGGAACAAGACCATCTATGATCAGAAAAGGAAGGATCCCTCCTCCCGTGTGACAAGAGCAGTGGTTGAGTCCAACACAGACTTCACCATCAACATCAGGAACTTTCAGCCCGATGATGTTGGCACCTACTACTGTGTGAAGTTTGTCAAGGGGAGGACTGGTGAGGATGAGGTGTTTCAGCATGGCAGCGGCACAGAGGTGTCCATGTATGGTGAGTGCAGCCCAGCAGGACACTGCTCCCAGGGATCCCATCCCATAGCCCCCACCCTGCCCACAGCCAGGTCCTGCTCTGCCCCACACCCACCACCCTCTCCTGCTCTGCCTGTCTCCACAGAGACAGCCCTGGTTCCTGGAATGGTGGCTGCAGCTGTAGTGCTCTGCTTCCTCCTTCTCCTCGGCCTCTTCATCGTCCTTTGCATGTACAGGAGGAAGCGCCAAGGCGGGGTGGGCAGCCTGTGCCCGGCCAGGACAGTGGCCATGGGAAGCTTCTTGTCTGTCCCTCTGCAGTGCTGTGCAGGGAGCCCCAGCACCCCCAGGTTTGTACTCAGCACCTCTTCCTTCTGCACCCTTAAATGAGCAAACTGTCTTATCCACCTGCTTTATCCTGTCTTCCTTTCTTGTCTGGAGCAGTAACTTGCCCCAGAAAAGGTCCTTTACTCACAAGTGCACTGTTCTGTTGGTTCTTTCTGCATTTCACAGAAGCTTCATGGTGGGGAGCACCCAGTGCCAGGGAGCTCCCTGCAGCCCCTCACCGTGTGTCTGAGCCCAGCCCAGATGTGCAGACAGCCCTTTGTTCCTATTCTCTGCCTTCAACAGGGGCATCCTGCTGAAATTTGGGAGGGGAATTGAGGGCTGTGCTGGGTGGGGAAAGGATCCAGCTTCCTTTAGTTCTGATGGCCATCCTTATCCTTCCCCTTACAGTGAAGTCCTGGATGCAGAGAGCTCCCACCTGCCCAGCCAGGTAAGAGTGAGCTGTGTGGGGAAGCACATCCCATGCCTGCAGGAGCCCTGCAAGACTCTGGGACCAGGGGGGACATTGGGTGGGCAGCAGCTGCCTGCATGAGCACCATAGCACAGGGCCACCTCTGCAGCTGTGGCATCACCAGCCTGGCTTGAGCTTCTTGGGGTTGTCCAGTGCAGGGCCATGAGTTGGTCTCGGTGATCCTTGCGGGTCACTTCCAACTCTCAACATTCGGGTTTAGTGTTATTTTGGCAAGATTTTCCTTGGGGCAGCATTCCCCATTTGTGTGGGAATGCACAAATCTTTTGCAGCAGAGCAGCAAGGAAGAGAACGACATCCACTACGCCGACCTGCAGCCCCTGCCCCCGGCCCCGCGGCGCGGCAGGAGCCCGGGCACAGCCCCCACCGAGTATGCCAGCCTCAGGGCAGCTGCCAAGTGACGCACGGCACCGCTGCCTGCGCGGCCAGCCCCTGTCAGGGTGGAAGAAGGGACGTTTCTGCAGGGCACAATAAAGAAGAAGTGGAGCTGTTTGCATGGTGCACCCTGATCTCAGCTCAGCACACCCCGATCTCGCTCACCATGCTCGCCTCTCTCAGGGGGAGCTCTCCCAGGACCTGGAAGCCATCTCAACAGCAGGAGCAGACCACGAGGCCAAGCACCTCTACCTTGTGCAAGTTTGGTGCTGATGACACCAAGAGGACCTCACACACACTTGTGTCCACCAGCATGGGCCTCCACTGGCCCATTCCCAGCCCACAGGTCCATAATTTGTGTTATCTTTTCACCACCCTCATTAAAGCCAGCAAACAGCCTTCTGTCCATGTCTTCTGCTGTGCTCAGAGCAAGGGCAATAATGCCAGTGCTGCAGAGTTCTGGTCAGCAGTCACTCCCACCTGCCCCAGGCAGGGAACCTGCCCAGCCCCATGAAACCTGCATCTCCTGGCAAGGCAGCAGGAAGCTCTCAGGAATGGCCCCTGGTGCTGCTGCTTCAGGCTGAGGCCCAGCCCTCGCCCACTTCTCCCTGTCCTCCTCAAGGGGCTCATGATGCTGTTAATTCCAGGGCAGCTGGTACCAGCTGGCCCTTCTGCCCCTTCCCCTGGTCCGTGCACATCTTCAGCTCCAGTCCCAGCCAGTCTGTGCACATCTGCTCCTGCACATCTGCTCCTGCACATTCCCTGCTTCGTGCCCGTGTGTTTGGTGCAAGGGAAGTGCAAGGGAAGTGGGCCAGTGGCAGGAAGCCAGCAGGCAGAGCTGGCAGTGTCAAGAAGCCGCGGATCACACTCCGCACTGGGCACTGCTGCAGCCCCCAGGAACACCCAGTCACCACTTACCTCCCAGCCACCATCTCCCCAGCCATGGCTGCTGAGCTCCCACCACGTGTGGCCCCAGCAGCCCCCTTGGCAGGAGGAACTGAGGCCAAAACAGGCTTTCCAGGCAGAGGAACCTGCTGCCAGCACCACTGCCTGTGACCTTGAAAGCTGATACAGCCACCAGTTTTCAGCTTTATCTACTTTTTTGTGTGAAATGAGAAAAGGGAAGTGAAACAAGACAATGTGACCAAGGGGAGTGGGGAGGGCAGGGAGATCCTTGAGGGGGCAGAATTGCCACAGTGGGGAGAAAAGCCACTACAGAAACTCGTTTTCATGACTGAATAAGAATCCCTTGCTCTGAGGATGTGAAGTGGGGACAGTTTGGGGTCAGTCATTTCTCAGGGACAGCTTGGGGACACTCAGAGCCCTGTAGGCATGGTGGTGATGATGAGTTTGCCAGGTCAGGGGTCTGCTCTCAGCCTAGCTCCTCAGTGGAGGGTTGTGGGGTTGGGGCATTGGGATGAAACCTCTCCCAGCATCGTTTCCCAGGTGGAGCCGTGACCATGCCATGGATCATTTCCCAGCTGAGGCAGTGGCTGCTCTGAGCAGGACTTGGGTTGCCTGGGCACTGTGCAGGGACAGCACCAAAACTGGCAGAAATCTCACATCAAGTCTGTGAACACGAGTATGTAAAATATGTGGGTGAGACCAAAACCAGGATAGACCTCGAGGACCAGAGGAAATGAAATTCAAGGGGATTTAGAGCTTTTTAAGCACTGGGGTGAATCAAGAGGGGGGAAATCCAGTTTGATATAAGCATATGCAAAGCAGGGGGTGAGCAGAGCACTGGCAGAATGCTCTACACCTAGGAAAGGGCCCAGGTCTGCAGCTTACTGGCCAGGGGAGGGATTTGGTGGTTATTAAAGGAAAATCCTTTAAGCCACCAGCCTGGGGTGTGCTGGCAGTGAAAGCACAAACAAGCGCCTGGGCACGGACACAAGGTAAGAGCGTGCTGGGGAGCAGAACCTCGCTCAGGGGCAGAGCCTTGCTTGGGGGGCAGCACCAGGCAGTGCTGGGGTCATGGATTCACTGCTCATCTGTGCTGTTTTCCTGGTGCTGCTGGTTGTCACATCCCACTAAGCGACCCTGCCGGTGGCTGTGTGTGGGAGGTCGGAGCTGCCATGGCTGGGGGGATGCACAGGGCAGTGCTGGGGTTGAGGCTGGCACCCACCAGGCTCCTCCTGCCACAG